AACGTACATACAGCAAATGGTCGTTGCAGAGCAAATTAAATCTTCTTTTGTCCGACCATGTTATCATTTTCCACTACTCCAAAGACCAGCAACAGTGCGTTTTCGCCCATTGAAAACGAGCGAGCCTCATTTTCTTCGTTAAAAGCGGTTTAGCCGCTGGTTTCCCCACATTCAAGCCATACTCCTGCAACTTCCGTCCCAGTGTTCTCACACTTATTGCCACATTGTATTGCTCCCGTCTTATCTCTACAGAGTTTTTATAGCGATTCTTTAAATAGATTCAATGGATAACACACATCTAAAAATGTATTCAATTTTGTACAGAACCGTGGCAATTATAGCTAAAGTGTATATTTTCATAAAAACAAAAACGCGAGGTTTGGTTTGAGTGGCCACGAGAGTACAATGTCCAATATTCAAGAATTTTTATCTGAGAAAATATTTGTTTACAGGTAACATTTAAGAAGTCTTCAGAAGTTAAGTGCATTTTTTAGATATACAAAATATATTGCCGAAAATTCTTCTGTACCCCAATTTTTCACAAAAATTTTGAGGATATGTGAATATAGAATATTATAGAAGTTTTCATTACCTACAACTCTGTTGAGTTCTTTTAAAATAATAAATGTTTTTCTCTCAAAGAAGAAAGTACAGCTCAGCCGTAAAGGCTAGAAAGCCATAATAAACCTTTGTTTAACTTTTAGGCGGATAGTTTATGCTTACCAAAGAAGATTTTCTACGAATTCTTAGTTATGACTCAGGAAAAGGATAAAAATGAAAAAAAGAATTTAGTCTTTCTGTTTGATTTTTTTTTTTTATGCCAAAAGTTCTCTTTACTGCGTTCAATCTGCTTTCGAAATAGTAACTTCTGTTGCAAAAAAAAATTCCAAAACGAAAATTCTAAAAATTAAACAAATGATATGCATATAACCAAATAACAGCAAAAAAAATTTTTTAGTATAAATTAATTTTACAATCTCAGCACCTCGCTTTTGACAAGCGAAAGCAAACAAACCAGCGCTGGATTAAAGCGAAAGTTACACTCTTCATTGAAATTAAATTACAAATATAAACAGAGAATTTGTCGAGCAACAGCAGTGTGACATAGACACTGCTGTGCGTAAGAGGAAGACACTCGCAACCCCACACAACATTTAATTAATGAATTTTAAGCCGTTAGCGTTAGAGTTAAATACACAGGCATACAAAATTTTATATTGCTATATATGCAGCATTGTGTGTGTGTGTGTGTGGAGAGTTTAATAAACTAATTATTTTTTGTGCATTTTGCATCAAATTAATTGCCATGGAAGCTCAACTTAATAGCTGCTGTTGCATGTTTTTGTTGTTTCAGCAAAGCATTAACCAGATTTTGTTAGTTATCTATTTACTCTAGTTATTTTCACATTATACGCAATAATAGCGCATAATTAAGTAATCAACATTAGAAAAGAGCAGCGAATTAATGAATTTGAATGGGAAATTGTAGCGCCAGAGTAAAGAGAGTAGGGAGTGGAGAAGGTGCACAAAAAATACTATATAGTATGTCCGAACCGTTTTTGTTTTTTTGGAGATAAATGAGACAATATTCCAGAAGCTAGAGAAGTTATATATATATATATATGTATATATATATACATTTATTAGGGTGGCTTAAAAAAACATTTTTTTCTTGGTACTCTAATCTGGAGAATTGGTTTCCAGACACCTCTAAGAGTGGATCTCCTTCTATGAGATTTAATTGTAACGAGAAGGTCCACTGGGGAATTTATTTTTTATAGGCGGTGGACCTTCCCGTAACAAATAAAAGCTCATACTTAGAGAGCCTTACTTAGAGGTGTCTATCAACCAAATTTTCAGAGTACAAAACTGAAAACAATTTTTTTTTTATCCACCCTTATATATAATATATAGATGTGTAATACTTATGCATATGTATATGCAAGCATATGCGTATATCCCATGAGCTACAGTTATGTTTAGTAAATAGCATCATCAAAGTAGGTACTAATGTGAAAAAATTGTATTTTATTCTTCAATTTTCCCTCGTTGACTTAATGTAGTAGTGTTCAAAAGCACCTGTGTGCATAAATATAAATATATATACATAACATACATATGTTTAATTAATTAGCGGCACATACTTTATACATATTTACAACTTTAGGCATGAAAGTATTTACTTTCGTCTCAACGGTAACACACACACACACTCGTATATATATGGTTATGCGTACGCATTTGGCTAACAACGCACATATGTTTTTGCCTACACATACGCACACCCATGCCCATTTATATATGTATAAATATATATCTATATCACTTTTTTGTTTACCTTTTTACTGACTTGTAAATTAGTTGGTATTTTAATTAGCAAATAAATTAGTTGAGCGCATTAGCTTGAAATTAGCCTTCAGATGTAAATATGCCGTTCAATTTCCCGTGTATAGTATGTGTATGTACATTCATACCTTAATATAATATGTATACAATCGTCACGTATACGCCCCGTCCAACTTGAAGGAGGCAAGTGACGATGGATTAATGCAATGTGCGCTGCGGTTGGGGAATTTATTTTTTTCGCACTAGTGATGGAAATAAATAAATACGGTGAAGTGTAGCATATTTAAAAATATGTGTTTGTTTTTGTATATATTTAAGATTTTTGAAAAGGAGAAATGTTTCTGCAGAAATATCAGTTTTATTATAGTTTCCAGTAGGGTTTCGAAAGAATATTTAGAGTAGTATACGGGGGATGAATATACGCGGCTAACAAGCTCTTAGGAATATGACCTGTTTCCATTTCCTACAATTCACAAAAACAATCGAATACACGAAGCCCATAAAAATTCGAAATGCACGACACTTTTTGTACAAAACTCGCAGGGCCATAATCAAGCGCTTGTAAATGCAATTAATTTTATTAAAGGCATACAATTTCTATATGAAGCCCCCAAATATTTGCAGTATACTTTAATTTTCCATTGAAAAAGCTACTCATTAATATTTACATGACAAAATTAAGGAAATTTCATTTTTTTGAAATCAGGGCCTCGCTTAGTTCAATTAACATTAATGCCGATTATATAGTATTTCTTGTAATTTTCCTTGTTCAATAAACTTCTTATAACTACTCAACTATTATTAAATTTAATACGCATTATTTAAAAATAGGTTTGGTTAGATAAATAGTTTATATATCATAAGGCCACGAATAATTCCACTTGGACAATTAGAGATGTCTGCTCCATGTGACGCCAAGTAATTCTAGGTGTTAATCAAAATGGTCGTCACATATCTACAAAGCTCAATGACATCGTCACAAATTTATTGAGCCGGCTAATAGCTACTCAACCGAAATACTTCAATCTAATTTTGGCGGAACTGGATGCCGAAGAAGAAGTTATCGACATTAGCTTGGCAAAAGGCCAATGAAGAAGAAAGTGTCTAGATTTTTCACCTCATCTTCATCCCTACAACTTAAACAAATTCCATACTTCAATCACTTTAACCTCACCGCATGAGTGCCAATGGAACAGTGCCCAGTTAGTACACCTAATATTGTGGCCATGTTAACTTTACTAGGAGCTAGTGGTCCCATAGACATTTTGTATTCCACTCTAAGCGAAAAGACTTTAGTAATCCACCAATGCTGGTTGCTGACCTACGCTTACTAACCTCGCGCGAGGCCTAAAGTTGATTTAAGTTGAAACTGTAAAGTTGGCAGTTACACAAAATATGTTCAAAAATTATTAATTTCTCATAACTAAAACTAAATTGATATACAATATATAAATTTGATTTATTAATAGAATACAGTTGCTTGACAGCTTTTTCACTTAGTTCGTGGAAAAACTAATTTTTGTAAAATAGAGAAAAGCCTCTTTATGAAAATAATTAACGAAACTACAATGAATTTGATAATTGGCCATTTATTGAACATATTCATTGAGAGTCGGTCTTCGGGGTAATCCCCGCCAGTTGTAATGCACTTATGCCAACAATTTTTCCAGTCCTCGAAAGACTTTGCCTTCAGCAAATTTTGTTTTATCTCTTCGAACGACGGAAAACGTGTTGTACTGAGCGGCAATTTCAGTACGGGGAACAAGAAAAAATCATACGGAGCCGAATCTGGTGAATACGGCGGATGTTAGATGGTATTGATTGCTTTTTTGGCTTTAAATTCGGTCACAATCTCGGCTCAATGATCATGCATTATCATTGTGTTAAATCCGTGGATTGCTTTTCCATAATTCCGGCCATTATCGAAGATTGTTCTTTTTCAAACGCCCCAATACGGGGGGCGTCTGTACCTTTGAAGCAAATGCATGAAGCATGAAACCACGAATATCGACTTTAGCTTTTTTTTTTCTGCTCGTTTTTTTCTCTCCATTCCGATGATTTTTATTTTAATGGATGTCAAACTCTGTTAAAGTGTTCGGTGTGAATGTTGAAAATTTTAGACAAAATGTTTCTTTATTGTCAAAATGGCAAGGCACTACTGAGTTGTATCGACTTAAGCAGCAAGTGTAAACAAACTGGTTGACAGATTGCACTCATACTTCAGTAATTAAGAATGGTCCTACCAACTTACCAAAATACATTTTTATTAATATCATTTACACGTAGAATTTAATTGCAAATTTCTTTCACTTTTTTATCACAATGCATAATGTAACTCAACTTCAGATAATTAGAGCCACCTATTGCAGAAGTAAGATCAATTTTTTTACTTGATTTAATATTACCTGTGGGCATCAAATGAATCGGTTGTAAAAGCCTAGGCTACTTACATATTTAAAAATGTGTTATCATTTTTTTCTAACCTATTTAAAAAAAATCTTATTTACAATAAATCTACAATTTTCGATAATCAATAATGAAATTATTTTCGCGTGGCTTGCTCTTCTTTACAAAATGCTTCAAATGCAAACTGAAGAACCCAAATATATGCAAATATTATATAATTATTATGAATTTCTTCAATTAGTGAACTAAATCAAAACCTATAGTACAACCACATAAACTCAAATTAAAAATTTTATCACAAAAAAATACATATAAATCAGTGCTCATAGTGAAACTTACGGAAAAAACGAACCAACCGAAACGCAAAATATACTCCCGTTAGTGATTAGTGTTAACAAAATGCTCCAGCGGCTATGATTGCCACACTATTCATCTTTTTTGCATTTATACGTGCGTTCCCTTGGCGGAGACGACGACCACGTCCACTGCAACTCCCACCAGCCACACCGAACCAGGCGTTACCGCCTACGTCAACAAACACCACCACAACAGAATCCCACCCAACAACAATTACAATAGTGCCAACAACATCAGGCGAATACCGTGAAAAACCGCCGCCCACAACGCCACTCACGAACGGCAGCGCCGTGCCGAGCATACAACACGCAGATGCCACCACCAGCAGTAACGACACTTATGATGCAGTCAAACCGATAACATCCGGCGATGAGCTGGAGGAGACACCGCGACGCTCATCCGTATTACAGACGCGCCGCAAATCTTCGAAATCACTCAAATACCACGAAGTAACTTTCAGCGGCAGCGTCGGTGGTGGCGAGAGTGATGACAATGAGCACGAAACACCGCAGACACGACGCAGCTCCCACCACAAAGTGCACCAACATCACCACCACCCACTCCAGCAACAGCAACAGCAACAGCGACATCTGTTGCAGCATCAGCAAACACTGAGCGCCAACTCGCGTCCCACCTCACCGGATAGCCATAGCCATAGCTCGGCTTCACACTATCGCTCGCTCAGCAGCGGTCGTACGCGCACGTCCACCGATTATGAAACTGCTAGCAGTGAGTTGTATAACAGTGCCAGATCGCAGTTGGACGCAACAGCTGACACAAACGCTAGTGGCGGCAGCTTTGATGCGACGCATGCGTACGCTGTCAGCGGCACAAATGGTCAATTACCCGCAGCTACCAGTAGCGTACGCAGTTTAGCAGGCAGTCGTCGTTTTCCACCGCGGCGCGCCGCCACACTCGCCACCGATACGCTGGTGGGTACGGACGATGAGGGCGCCGTTACCGACGCACACGATGAGGATGGTGAAGAGGCGTGCGACGATGATGATCACGATCCAGATTCATATGATCGTGAAACGGAAGAGTTCTACAGCAATATACAAGATGCTGTATGCCCGTCGGGTACGCGCAGTAAACGTTCATCGCTCTTCTCGCGCTCCGATTCGTCAGCTACCACAACTTCGTCGAGTGGTGGTGGTACTTTCACGGGCGGTAAGCGACGTTCCACCGCTTCGATTTTATCGTCGTCGATGTGCTCCGATGTCATACCGATCGATAGACGCAGTTCGACCGCCACCGAGTATAGTGTACGATCAGCGTCGGGTCAGCGGCGTTCAAGCGGACGTATACGCCGTTATATATCACGCATGACGATCGCCGGCGCACGACGACGCACCACTGGCAGGTACTACTAATTTTATTATGATTAATTTTTCAATATATTTTATAAAACTTGAGTAACTTGGGATATTTCAGTTTATTATTAAGTGAGTGAAAAGTCTCTTGTTATATACTATATATTATTCGTCCTAGATTTCTTTACTAAAATGAGATTAAAACATACCGCAATCGTTACAATTCAATTAAATGAAGTCACCGCTGGATCTATGATCAGATGGTTGGCTTTTGAGGTAGCCACTTACTCATCTGATCCAGCTCCTAGTGTCTAACCTCTATTACTCTAGAATACAGACCAAAAAACCACTCCTGTGAAGACATCTGAGGAATGTATGATCATTAATTTTTAAGAAGGACATTTAAAATTAGATCCAGAACTAAATTTGGTGCGACCTCAACTAATAAGGATCTTAAAAAAAACCGCTCTTGTTAGATGATAAGGAAACTTCGAAGACCTAATCAAGTCCGTTCCGTCAAGTCCATTTGTCTGTCTGTATATATGCGAACTAGTCTCACAGTTTTAGAGATATCGATTTGAAATTGTACACACTTTCTTTCTTCACAAGAAGCCGCTTATTTGTCCGAACTATCGACATCAGATCACTAAAGCAATCGATGCCCTACAACTTAACCGATCAAGGCTATAACCTCAATCAATTAAACAATATAATAAAAAAATGTTTAGATCAGACTACCACACGTTATAGCTGCCAAACAACTTGATCCATCAATTCCAAGACATTGTATGGAGAACTCTTTTATTTTACAAGATAACTTCACCGACTTTGGTTGATATCATTGCCCAAGAATAAGATTAATAGTGACAATATCCGAAAATATTGCCCAAATCGGACTATTATGAGATAGAATTGCTATATAACCGTTCAAAACTAAATCCAGGTATGAAAAACTTTCTTATTTGCCAAAATATATTCACAACATTTGACACAGATTATTGTCCGGGGCATAGTTACAATATACCAAAATATTGTCCAAATCGAACTATTATAAAATATAGCTGCCATAGAAACTTATAGATCAAAATCAAGTCCTGGTATGGAGAACTTTTTTGTTAGACAAAATAACTTCACAAAAATTGGCATGGGTCGTTATCTGAGGTAATGCTTTAATCAAGGAATATATTGTACAGTTCGAACCACTGTAGCATATAACATCCCTACAAACTGCGCGACTAAAGTCAAGATAAAAGTCTTTATAAAATATTCCTTATTAGCTAATCTTAATTCGACCTGAATGTTGTCTATAACAAACAAGGTAGCTAGAAAGAACTGGCAAAGATTTGTCAAAAAGAGTCTTTACATTGTGTACGCTATATAGAGATTATTATATTTAACCCACTGTCATATAAAACCGGTTCAAAAATACAAAATATTACCAAATGAATGAAATAAGAATAATGGAACAATATAAAAAACGCCTGAACTAAGGCTACATAATAATGAAGTAGAGAACAGCAAGCATTATAGCACATAACACTTTAATTCAAAACCACAAAACTCTCCATTTTTATGACTAACTCTCCATAAAAATTGTTTTGAACCACTTGCAATCAGCACTAAATTAGTGTCATATCCCGCAAAGTCTCCAAAATTGTCCAAATCGCACAATCACTCAAAGCGGCAATCACGATTACCACAAACACCGTTATGCCCTGTAATCAACACGAAAGTAATTGTCTCTGTGAGCATAATTTATTTTCTTTGAAACTTCTCAGCATTCGCATTCAAGCGAATTTACAGTTCGATACTGCGTTGCATGGCGCAGAAATGAAATTTGAAAAGTTCAGTTCAGAAAGACATTACCTTAAGTATACGCAGCATTTACAAAGTCAGTCATGTGCGACACAAATGGCCATCTAACGATGTTTGTGGCACATTGATTGCAATTCGGCAATACACACACACACACACTTTATTAACGCCTTGATGATACAATGGCACACACATGCAGCGTAACTTCTCTAATGTGAGAATATGTACATATATACATATATGATATATAATATGTGTGCGTGATGTGCTCATGTGTATTGAATTGAAAACAATTTAGGCGCAACATTTTCGCAAACTGAAATTTACATACATTTAAAAAAGTTGTACACACTCACACATATGCGTGCAATTTACATAGCTGTGAGTGTATGCAAGTCAGCGTGGTGTGTGTATAATGCACACTATATATGTGTATGTATATACAATTTATGCATAAAAGTTATGAAATATTCCAACTTTCACTCAGGCGAGGCAAAGTAAAATCGCAGCGGCGCACACGACAGATGGTGGAGAAGAGGGAGCGTATAAACAGGGAAAATGAATGGTAGCTCGGCGCAAACTTTAAATTAGCAGCATTTATTGACTTTGCTCTTGCCACCGATTCGTGTAACTTTATATGCATTTACATATAGAAATATGTTTGTATATATATTGTGTTTATAAAAAAAATACGTTTAACCTGCTGGTCCCGGTTTCACGATATTCCGAAGTCCTGAGCTGTTTAAATTTTTCAGTAGCAGATTTACGCTGCAGGAGGTCAGGTAGCGAGAGTGCAGCTTATGCTTATTTGTTTATATAAAGTTGTATAATAGTTAGAAATAATAAAGAATTTTTTTTTTTCTTTCGAAAGTAATGTCAAATAATGATTAGGTTAGGTGAGATGGCTAGTCGCCATAGCAAAGAATAACTCCTACGTTCGAACCTATAAATTAGCAAAACGTTTAGAAGCCAGTACAAATTTGCACAGGCGTTTAATTCCCATTACATGGGATGTGTGGAGCAATGCGCTCTCAAGTAGTTAAGTTGTTTCCACCTTATCTTCATCCATACAGCTTCAGATGGCGTCTTCTAAGATTTCGAATCTTATAGCATGGACGCTAATAGGGCAATGGCCTGTTAAAAGCCCCACATCTAACACGGCTAACCTTTTTGAGGGCGAAAAGATCACTAGATTTCTCGAGATCGACCTAAAGCCAAAAGGCCCAGCGCTGGAAAAGTTTCCACGAAGCCCAGCTATCTAGTAGTAAAAGTAGGATACAGGAGCACCGACCCGCTCCCATTTTCCCGAATGCGGTTCTAGGATGCCTTTTCTTGCTAGCTCATCAGCTTTCCAAGTTCCTGAGATTCCGCTATGGCTTGGTACCCATACCAGTCTTATCACAAAGACGCTCGATGCTATTGATAGCAAGGATCAACACTGAACATACTGTTAATTAATTCAAGGCTCGTATCGCCGCCCTGGTATCTGCGTGGATGGTCACTTCTCCGAAAGCGGCTGCATGCTGGAGCAACTACTACTGCTACCTTAATTGCAGCAACCTCCTCTTGCTGCACTTCAATAGTCAGAACCTGATAATAATCCTCCACCAGAAATCCCCCCAAGCTTTGGCCCATCCGTAAATAAGTAAATAAGCTCACTATCCCTCTGCTCCAATGGCTTTTCCCTCCTACAACTCCATGGCCGGTATATGGACAGGGAAGCACAGCCAGAGTTCGGTTTGACGACTCCATGATCCAAGTGATCCGGTATGAAATCAAAGTGTGTGAGGATTTCCGAGTGTTAAGACATATGTTTTTTTAGGAATCTAGACTCTCTGAGTCTGGTAGCACCCCTCGCAACATTACACCTTCCGACGGTGTCTACGGACACTATATGTAACATGGGATAAGTGCCGTGATTGGAGTGGACAAATTCGGTGAGCGACCCCACTTTTTGCCAATGGCTTTGTTCTCACTTCGCTTTCTGGCATCCATGAAAGCTTTCTATCCATGCAGACGAATGTCTTAATAGATGTTCGCGACTGGGGTTCCATTGGGGTCTTGTATATTCTAGTAAACAAAACCATTACTATTACTCAAAACTATTTCCAGTATATCCCGATATTGCACATTTACCTTTAAGAGTCAATTTTAGAGGTCTTTATACATTTTCTTACTTGTATCCCTGGATCTGATGCAACACATATGTATAGAAATAATGTTAATTTATAAACCAGAAGTATATAAAATTACAAGTTTTTATTGCAATAATTATCCAAAATAAATATTTTAGACAAATGTAGGAAAGTCTTACAACACTCTTGCACCAGCTTTTGCTTACGAGCCATGTCCCTCTTGCCACTGCAGATGACGTTTCATCAACTTCAGGCTCAACGGCTTGATTTGCTCGAAAGCTTGCTGTAGTGACACCGCCTCCTGTGTCTTCTCATCTGCTCTAGAAACACGCGTTGCACGTCTAATCATTTGCATTGCGATCTCTTTGCAGGCCAAACGTATTTCGTCGCCCGTAAAATGCTCTGAGATGCGCACCAACAATTCCATTTGCTCTTTCGTCACTGCCAGCATTATGGGCAGCTGCTTGCCGATGAGTAAGGCGCGTTCTATAGCGTTCGGTAGTTGTACCAAAAGTTTCTTTTCGAAACGGCGCAGAAAAGCATCGTCAATATCCCATGGCAGATTGCTGCTTGCCAGCACAAATACGCTACTCATTTGCTGCTCCATGCCGTCTAACAGTTGCAGCAGCTCATTCTTGAAACGTTTCGATGACTCATGATCGCTCGGACGATCACGGCGTGATGTTAGACCCTCAATTTCGTCGAAGAAAATAATCGAAGGCGCATGTTTTTGTGCCATATGAAAGAGTATACGCATTATTTTCTCGGACTCGCCACGCCACTTGGACACCACCACGCTGCTGGTCACATTAAAGAAAGTCACTTGATGGCGTGTCTCGGCGTAGAGGATTTTCGCAAGCAATGTCTTGCCACTGCCGGGTGGGCCATGCAACAGCACCGATTTCCACGGACGCAAACCGTTCGCAAAGAGCTGCGGATACTTGAGTGGTATGAGCACAGCCTCCTTAACAATTTCCACGGCGCTCGCATTCCCACACATATCCGTCCAGCTGAGCTTAAGTTCATCACGCATTATTGTCGTCTTCACGAGCTCCGCCAAATTCTGCCAATCCTGCTGATTCAAAAGTCCATCAGCTGCG